AACTTAATACACGAAGTTGTGGTGTTAGTTATAGTACGATGAAATTGTTGTGCCGATCATGAGAGAACATAACTGTGTACGAAATATGGTAAATAGTGTGAAATCGATATACTATAAAGTATGGCAATAAAAAACTCTCTTGTATTGATCAAAGATAAATTTTCTTGCTTGAGCAACAATCTCTTTAGATGCTTCAGAATCTCATATTTCTAAACATATGTTTTTTGCTTTTTGAAGGTTTTACTGCTACCCTTATTATCTTTGCACATATATCCTCTAAGTTTCACTAATTGTTTCTAGCTCTTAATATTGTTCATTCTTTTACTAATACAACCTCATAAGAGGAAAAAAGAGTACAAATGGAACAAAATTATTATCTCACTTCTCAAAAGACTTTTTTAATGGCACTTTCTCTAACATGGGCTGAAGTTGTTACCAAAATCTTAAATTCGGGGGAGGTTAGTGCTATTTTTCAAACCTCAAAAGAAGTGAGTGTAACTGTTAGAAACCTGAAGGGAGGTTTCTGCAATTATCCCTTGCACAAAAACATTAAATCTTCTTTAAAAAGATGGTCATGTAATTGAAATTAACATGTCGTACACTACATCTTAATTCGCATGCTGTACTCGTACATGCAGTCTACAATTGAGGTTGGGAAGTAATCGATTCCTAGAGGTGAATCTAGCGATTTATGTGCCTCTCGGAAGCTGAGATCGAACTCGCATTGAACAAGTCCAAGTGAATTTGAATAATTTGAAGAGTTCAAACTAAAGTCTAATATATGATGCTCAACAGTTTGTCTAACTTAATCGAGTTCAGTGTATCTTTGATTGAAATTAAATATCTAAATTATATATCTATTAGTGTGAAATGTATCTTGTATTTGTTGTTTAGAATTGCATAAAATATTAATTTATACCATTTAAGTTTGATTGGCCTTGATTTAGCTATTATTTGATCAAGCTCAAACTCCAGTTCCTATAAACTAATATTATATGGAATTCAAATTCAAGCTCAAGTTTTAAGAGTTTGACGAGTTTGAGTTCAAGTATTTTAGTCGAAACCGATATTGAGTGGTGTACTATTCAAGTTCGACTTAGCTAGTTTTCACCCATGTTGAATCTGAATCCTCCACTGTTCCATCAAAATGATAGGACTTTATATTTAAGAAACTTTTTGCACAATAGATTTGAGTAAAGAATGATCTGCACTATCAATCGTGCTCTTATGCAGATTTTTATTTTAACTTCAGGCCCGTTAGAAATGAAAAAAATGTAGCCAAAAACTATAATGCCATGACTATTATATCATAGCTAGTTCTGGTTTTGCTTCATCCGTCAACTTTCGCGTCCAGGGCCTCCAGGCCATGCATTGACATACTTGCCATCAGACCATCATCGAATCGTCTAAGCTCTGTCTTTACAATTCAAACTCGTATGCCTTGTGCTAGATATATAACACAAAGGATCTCGAAACAGCTATTCAGATTTAGGATATGATGTTTAGTCTGGACTCTGGAGTAAGTTTCAGCTTTTAGCAACAAAAGATCATAAAACCTTATCACAAATTCACCTTCATACAGCCGTGATTCCTGACTATTGTACCCATAAGAGAGAAGCAATTAAATTTTTGACACGTCCTCATTACCCTACTCATTGCAAATCTATAAATACCTGCCCTCTGGGAAGGAACCTATTCATGCAAACATTGACTACACTAAAAATGAAGACAGCAAGCTTTATATTCATATCTTGCCTTCTTTTCACACTGTCAGAGAACTTTTTGCCAGGCACAGCACAACCTACTGTTCCTGATCCGGTTCTTGACACAGCTGGTCAGCCCCTCCACCGGGGGTGCCAACTACTATATCTTGCCGGCTGAGCACGGCAACGGGGATGGTCTAACACTAGCAAGTGACAAAAATGGCAGCTGCTCATATGAGATTGTGGAGTCACTGAACGAGGGTGCTAATTGCCTCCATTTAACATTCTCACCAGTTGATAATGATACCACAATCCGAGCTAATACTGATCATAACATCAGGTTCATCAATTTCTCGTCTCCTAAAATTTGTCCTCAATCCAATGTCTTTTTTTTTTTTGTCAGCAACGATACATTTGTATAACCTATTTTATCCTAATCTAGGGGGAGGGGGAGTCTAAGGAGGCTGTGGTAGGGAGCTAGTGGGTATGCAGATCCAACTAGACCAAGAGAGTGCTCTAGCACAATCCTTGGACTTTTTTCGTTGCAGGTGAAGTTTGAACCCTCACTTACAATCCAATGAGGACTTAAGCCCCTCCCTGGTGGCCACTGAACCATTGGCCCAGTGGTTTCCTCAATCCAATGTCTAGACAATGAATCGCGGTCTCCACTTCTGTTACTATTGGTGGAGTTGAAGGGAACCCTGGACGTGACACCTTACGAAACTGGTTCGAAATTTAGAAATATGAAGATGCCTATCAAATCGAATATTGTCCCAGTGCCCCCCGTCAACCCTGCAGAGTTTTGTGTGGAAACATTGGAATCTATATGTACAATAGGAGGAGACGTTTGGCAATAAATCAACCACCACTCAAGATTGTCTTCAGGAAGTCCTAATGATTAGAGTCTTGTGTTTTTAACTTGTCACAAGCATTTTAATTACAGTCATGTCCGACCGAATAATGTAGTATGTATAAAGTTCGTTAGTAGTGGTCCGACTCTCCGTCTTTATATATATATATATATATATATATCTATTAAAAACCTTACTACCCTCCCCACACTCTTATCATCCTCTACTGTTAGATACAGAATTCGAACTCTGAATTTGACAGCAAAACAAACTCTAACAGCTCTCTCCAAACCACTGATGATTTGATTATAAAGTCTTAGTGTTGTCCAATTATTGAATTTATTCATCGTACTTTATTAACAATAGAACAATGAACTTTAGATAAAGTAACTCAGTAATCAACTTGTTTTTGGTAAGTTGGTCACTAAGAAATGATTTAAAATCTCTTTTAGATTGTAGATCGGGTGTTTGAATCTCCACACTTGTACTAAAAAATCCAGAGAAAGTGTAGTAGTGCATCTTTCTAATTTAGATGGGTCTTTCACTTCTAACTCCTCATATAGCCTAGTTGGACTTCCCCCTCTTTAAAATAGGACAAATAGATTATAGATGTTGCCGCTCGATAAAAAACGAAAAAAATGGGGGAACTCATTAAGTCATATTCAACTCAATTATGAAAGGCTAATTGAATTAAACCTTGTTCAGATTATTTTCAAAAGAATAACTAACTAAATTGTGATTTGCGAAATATTCTCAAGGTTTCTGAGATATCAACCAAACTTTGGATTTGGAAATTGGCTAGTTCTTTTGTGATCCCGAAGCGATCATTATATAGTTTCTGCATGGGATTGACTGAAATTGGAACTTGATCAATAACTGGTAGGAAGCTACTGATCATCTGAAAATTCTCAAGCTAACGTTGTAAAAGATTTCAACGTTTTTGGGGTGTACAGGATAAAGCCTATGATAAATGGCAGCATCTAACAAATTAAAATCCTACCAAGAGTGTACATGTACTAAGAGGAACATAACTAGATGGGGCCGGTCTAATTCATCTTAATGTTTCCAATAGGAGTTCAGCATGATGGATAAGAACTAATTAGCAGAAACTGATTGCTGCATAATGGTAAACAAATCTGAATGTTGTGATTTGATCAGTTCTACTTTTAGCTTTTATTTATCTTTTCATGCATTCCCGTCAACTTTGACATGACCTTATTAGGCTGCAAGAAAATCCAGTAGTTGGCTCGTATCGGATAGCTCTAACATTTGACATCATTGCTCAAAATCTTTAATTCATTTAGGCCTCTTGGCAGAAGCTATATATTGAATAACAATTAAATACAGAAAACGAGATACAATGTTAGTTCTGGTTTTCTTGTTTCACGTGACCAATTACATTCCAAGTCACCATGGATGAGAGGGGGAAGTCCAGCCAGCTAGAATAATGTCCTATTTTAAGGAGGGGGAAGTCCAGCTACATTAAAATAGGACATTATTTTGGAATTTGAAATACATATGTATCGAATTTGCATATGTATCGTGCCATGGTGACTTCCCCCTCTTTAAAATAGGACATTCCAACCCTTTTGGCAGAGTAAGTTTCTATATTATTATTGAGTAAATTTTATAGACACTGATAATGTATACATTATCACGGTTAGATGCACGATACATATGCAAATGTTTGGATTTCAAATTTAAATTCGAATTATGTGTCATGCATCAAATGATAAAAGTGTATATATACACAGTAATGTATAGAAAATTAATCCATTATTATTTAGCAGTTTTTGTTGGTCAAGTTTCTAGCTATTGTTTATCATTTTTTTGGTCAAATTAAGTTTCTCTTCTATTATTTCTTTCTTTTGTTAGACAAGTAAGTTTGTGTATCATAGTTTATTAGTATTTTTTGTTGGTCAAGTAAATTTCTATATTATTATTTAACTGTTTTTTTTTTTTTTGTCTTGTTTAGTTTTTGGTAGATTGAATATTGTATTAGATAATTTCTCATAGTTGAATATTGTATAGGGTAATTTATCCTATGTTGTTTTTCTTTTTTTTTTTGATCAAGTCATATAATCTATAAGTAGAGTGTCTTGTTATCACAATCAATGGAGAAAGATGAAAAGTTGATAGTTTTATTCTTTTAATTTTAAGGGCTTGTTTGGTGACGTATTCCATGAACTGGACTAACCTTCAATAATTTTTCAACAAATTTATCACTTTTTAGTCTTAGCCAGCCACTATTGATGACCTGAAGTACCTAGATCAAACTTGTAAGTTGCAAGGCAGATATTCTACCATGTATCATGTGCCCTGATGCCCTCATCCTCAGATAATCCCTCCCCCTGCCAACTCTATTAATACCATCCCTTTGGCAAACAAAATCTTCACTGCTTTAGTCGATCATCCTATCATCAAGAAATTAAGTTTAGAGGAGACAATGACGACCCCAATTTTGATTAATCTCCTGATTTCTTCCTTTCTTTTGGCTTTCTCAGTTAACTTTCCACTAAGCACAGCTCAAAAATTTCCTGCTCCAGTTCTTGACACTGCTGGACAGCAGCTTCGTAGTGGTGTCAACTACTATATCTTGCCAGCAAAGGGCGGCAACGGTGGTGGAGTAACATTTGCAACCGGCGTAGATAGCCGCTGCCCATATGAAGTTGCGCAAGCATCTGACAAGGGTAATAATGGAATCCCAGTAATGTTCGCACCATTTGATGGTGATTCCATAGTCCGAGTTGATACTGATTCAAACATCAGGTTCATCGATTTCAGGCCTCCAGTAACTTGTCCTGAATCCCATGTATGGACCCTTAATAACAATAGAACATTTATTCAAACTGGTGGAGTTGAAGGGAAGACGGGACCTCAGACCATAAACAACTGGTTCAAAATTCAGACTTATGAAGATGCATACCAACTGCAATACTGTCCTGGTACTGATGTGTGTGGCAATCCCTGTGGAATTCTGCTTCTTTGTGAAAATATTGGTATCCTAGTGGACAATGGGAAGAGGGCTTTGGCACTAAATCAACCAGCACCATTCAAGGTTGTGTTTACCAGGGCCTAGAGATTTTATACATCTCTAGACATTCCTCCAAGTCAACCTTGAATTAAATAAATTACTGTGACTGTTAATTAATGTACACTTTATACTGTTGTTGAAATAAGTGAATACTACTACTATCTCCTTACTATTGAGATCTCTCTTTATACTTTCTGTTAGTTTCTGATTTATTTGCTCATATGGCGGTGGAGCCATGCTGCTATTCATGTTTCGTGGTTTTACAAATTACAAGCTGTTTTTCTTTTCAACTGAAAATGATTGAGTACATCATTTAGATAACTTTGAGTTCTTATGCTTCCTAACAAACCTAATACTGTATTACTGAAACAAAAAAAAAAAAAAAGGAACTATCTTAAGAAAAATTGTACACCAACCGAATTAAATACACGGATGTTAAGGAAAACTGCTGAATTTTGTCACAATCACGATGAAGAAGACATTAGCATACAATTTGCAACTTTATGTAGTAAATAAATTTATTTAATAATTGAAGGATGAACCTTTTAAAAAAAGGTATAGGACCTCTGAGCACAATTAACCTTCTGCTGTTTGATTGCTTTCTGAAGCATTACCTGAATAGAAGTAGGTATAACTTTATCAGAACAAATAGGAATTAGAAAAGCTTACGTTAGCTATCCAGATTAAGAAAGAAGAATTGGGTGGAGCTTCATTTAGTTACTATTGTGCTGTACTAATTTTTATGAACTTTACATAAAATTGAAATCGAGTTTTATCACACGCCAAGTCATTCTCTGAATATGTTGGGAAAACTCATCATTGCATACAGCCTGACTAATCTGGATACGTGTAAATACGTTTAAACATTTTACTTCTGGCTTTATCTTTTTTTCTTTCACCTAAGTCATTCTTATTTCTTTAGGTCTTGAACCAAATCAGTGACAAAAAGTAAAATATTTAGGCTCCTGCAGTATATTCTCTGGATTCTTGATATCGAATATTTTCCGCTCGCAAATTCCAGACTGGTAACTGGTTAGTGCAATGGGAAAGATATAAGAACCGTACATGATAAATTTTTCTCTTTTTCCCGTGGTCAACAAATAAATGCGTGGTCAAGCTACCAGGGCCTGCACATTTACCACCTTTGCAACTTCAAAAGCTTATTAAGTCTTGTGAAAAAGTCCAAGGTAGAACAGATTCTAGGCTTATTATTCAAAGTCTTGACTATTCATAGAGACCTTTGAGCTGAAGCTATTTACTTATCCAGTACGGGAAGGAAAATTCAACCAGAATAAGATGGTATATCTGATTTTGCTTCTTTGTCAACTCATCGATTATGGTCCAAGTTTTCATGCTTGAAGGCATTTGTCAACCTGAGCCTAATTAATTAGAATCCAGAAACCTACCATAGTTGCAAATTTTGCAACTCACAGAAGTGATTTTTCACACCTTGATTTCTACTTCATATTCAGGGCCTAATATTAAAGTAAGCCCCCTTGAGAAAATCAACTCTCAAATCATTAAGGGTAAAAAAACAAAAAGCTTTTGTGGTAAACCTAATATACAGAAAAACCTCCGTGATTTCAAAACGTATAAGACAACACCTCATGCTTTGAACTAAATTGTAAAGGTGACGGAATCCATTAAAATTAACGGAAATGACTTATTGAAATCTAAAAACAAATTTTTTATACCTAATTTTTAACAAATATATATGTTCTACCCCTTATCCTCCAATTCTCTCTCTCTAGAGAATGAAACAAATAATTTTGTTGAACTATATTTTACTTAGTTATATCAGGGTATTTTTGTCATTTCATCCGTTTTCATTAATTTTAACGGATTCCATCACCTTCAAAATCCAGTGTTGGATGTTAGGAAGAAACACCTCGAGAGAGTTCATCAATGAATCCAATATGTAAGTAAGGAATTCAACTCTGACCCAAAAGTTTAAACTATTAGGTTTCGGGTCCTTAGTTAAATATTAACCGCTCTTTCTTCGTCTCTCAACTAATGTGAGACATAATCCTTTACTGATGAATCTAACAAATCTCCCTTTTCATGAGTAGTTCTTCACATTAAACCCAAGTTTACAATCTCTTCTCCAAGCTCACTTTAATATTCAACACAAACTCATTTTAATAAAAGTCACCTCTTCTCCCAAATCATGAACCCACTTTTCTTCAATATCGAAATTGGACTTTGAACCCCTGCTAACCCTTGGCTTCTTGGTCTAACACCAATCAAACTCCCTGCCAAATCTGTTAGATTTATGAGTAAAGGATTATGTCCCACATTGATCCGATAGATAGAGAAAAAGGGGTTAATATATAAGTAAGAGTCCGAGACCTAATTGCTTAAATTTTTGGGTCAAAGTTGGGTTCCTGACTTACATATTGAGATCTTTGGTAGACTCTCTTGAGGTGTTTCTGTCTATCAAATTGGTATCAGAGTTTCAGATTTCGAAACTGGACTACTCATGGACAAGTGGATCCTTTTCGGAGTTGAACCAGTGAAAATTCTCTTTTTGGTGGTGGACCAAAGTGCCAAGAGTTTGGTTAGTATTGGACCAAGTACACCATGAATTTGGTAGGGGTTCCAATTGGTGTGAGATGGAGCCAAGGATTGGTAGAGGTCCAAAAATTCAGTTTGGATGTTGAAGAAGAGTGGGTTCATGTTTGGGAGAAGAGGTGATCTTAGATGATAAGATGAGTTTGTGTTGAATATTAAAGTGGGATCGAAGGACTTGAAAATTTGGATTTAATCTGAGGAGTTACTCATAAATGGGGAGATTTGTTAGGTTCATGAGTAAAGGGTTATGTCCCACATTGATCCAAGAGATAGAGAAAGAGCGGTTAATATGTAAGTAAGAGTCCGAGACCTAATGTTTTAACCTTTTGGTTAAAGTTACATTCTTGACTTATATATTGGACTCTTTGGTTAGGGTTTTTTCAAAGTTTACAATCTCTTCTCCGAATTTACTTTAATACTCAACGCAAACCCACCTTAACACCTAAAGTCATCTCTTCTCCCAATCATGAACCCACTTTTCTTTAATATCTAAACTGGAACCCTTGACTCCTTGGTTTGACATCAATCAAACCCCTTGCCAAATCCATGACGCACTTGGTCGAACACCAATCAAACTCTTTGACACTTCGATCCACCACTAAGAAGGGAATTTTTACCGGTGTAATTTTGAGAAGAATCCACTTGCCTATGAGTAATTCAGTTTCGTAACCAGAAGTTCTGATACTACTTATTAGAGAGAAACACCCGAGAGAGCCCATCAAAGAGTCCAATATGTAAGTCAGGAATCCAACTGTAACCCAAAAGTTTAAACGGTTAGATATTGGACCCTGACTTACATATTAACCACTCTTTTTTAACTAATATGGAATATAATTCTTTACTTATGAACCTAACACTAGACATTGATGGAAATGCTGTCCAAGCTGGTGTCGATTACTATGTAGTGCCACCTGATGGCAGCATACAGGTGGTGGTGGGCTAGGACTACTACGCAGAGGAAATCTCACCCGCCCACTTGATGTTATCCAAGTACTGAACCAGACATCCAATGGTATTCCACTCACATTCTCCCAGTGAACCCTAACGATCATATTGTTCCTTTAGGGACTGATCTAAACATTGTATTCTTTGCCTCAACAGTCTGTGTTTTATCGACTATGTTGAGACTTGTGTACAATGCTGATGTTCCAAATCAATTTTTTTTGACGACCCGTGGAGTTAAAGGAAATCCTGGACGTGAAACACTAAGCAATTGGTTGGAATTCAGAGATATGAAGATGCCTACATCTTTTATTTTTGTCCTGCTGTCTGTAATATCTGCAGACCAGTTTGTGGGAATATTGGTGTTATTCTTGACAATGGCAGAAGACTTTTGGACCTCAGTAATCAACCACTGAATGTTACTTTCAAGAAAGCATAAAAAATTGTTATACTTGAAAAAAAGGGTAAATAAGGGAACTTACTGTGCTGTTCTACGTACTGTTATATTAATTGCACTGAATAAAGAACCTCTTATTTTCCTTTTCTTCACCATATATCGAAAGAAGGAAATAAAAATCATATTAGAGGAAATGGATAGCAACACCCACTATAGTGACTAAAACAATGCTTTCTAATATAAATTTCTGCAGTTTCGTATGCATATCACTTGATAGTACCATGGCAACATCTCCAACCCTCTGCCTCCTACGTGTTAGTCTTTCATTACCATCAGAAAATGCAAAGGTTTCTGGCTTACATTAATTCTTGCCTATTTGTTTCCTTTCCGTCTAAAAACAACTTAAGAACTAAGCGAGCATAATAATCATGTCACGTTTAAGTTAGACACAATTAACCTATCGTTTTTAGTTTTTTTTTTTTTTTTTGGGGTAACGAAGTCTTACGGTTGTGAAAACTTCATTCCCTTCTTGAAGAAAATATTGACCAGCTCGGATGTCCATAATTCACGGATTCAATACTGGATGAGCGCAACATATTTCTACTTTGTGGTACCTCACTCTCTAGGCAGTTCTGGGTCTTTTTCTTTAATTTAACCCTGGTTATGAAACTCTTGAAAATTAATGCTAACTGCTTTGCAGAAAATTTATCAAGCAGGAAAAGGAAATTGAACCATAAAAAACAATGACAATTGACAACAAAATGAGTTTACCAAAAGAAACTGCATATGCTCAGTACGGAAAGGAAAGTTAACTCGGATCACAAGTTTTCTACTCTTACCGCCATGGAACATGGCATCGTAGTCTGAGCTTTTCTGTGACAGTGAAGAAAACACGGCATAAAAGGAGAATTGTGGTCGAAATTTTAATTGTTGTATTCCTATCTAACATTATTGTTTCTGTTGAAATATCAAGACGGATGGCTTAATTATATAGGCCAGGATGAAGTCCCCCAAAAAAATTTTTTTTTTTTGTTGGTAGGAAGAAATACTAGATAATAGTAGAAATGTAACCTCTGAAAGTTGCAACACTAGTGGACTCAGGTTTACAGATGCCTTCAAACCAGAAAGCTTGGAC